CACTGAAGGTCACGGGATATGATCCTTTAAAGTTTTGAAAATTACTGTTTTTGGAAGCCTATAAAACCGGAAATAGGTGTCGGACATCATAGATCAAAACATGAACTGACATTATAGACTTTTGACCTTGAAAAGGTCATGGTCATCAAAGATGAAGATCAAAAATGAAAATTTAGTCTATTGTAAAACCTATTCCTTTTTTAAAAGTAAAAAGCCCAAACAGATTTATCTTCCTACGATATTGGCCAAACTAGTGACCTATATTCCTGCAAAATATTATCGGTGAAAAATGTATACTTTTCAAGTTATGATAAATTACAAATATATAACATATATGTAAATCTAACCCGGATGTGCCAAGCCCACCCCCAAAATTTTATACTGTCTGCTATCACGTGTACAATGTTAAATGATGTTCAAAATTTCAAGCATCTACAATTATTAGATCATGAGATATTAGTTGTTGAAAGTTTGAGTTTATATGGCAAAAACCAAATTACGCACAGTTACTATAGACGTCAGTGTAAAATTTTAAAATTTTAAAAAGCGCAATATTGATCAATATATCAAGTGTGATATATCCTCAGGAAGAAGAAATCGCACACATTAAGGAAATGAAATAAATTTTATCGTATGATAATAAGGTCACGTGACAGAGCTCTTTACAGATAAAAATTGCGATTTTCAAATGGCTCTAGAACCGGAAGTTAAGATCGCTTGACAAAAGTAAATATATTTTTAGATAGATCTTGTTAGGGCCCACAACATTTGTGCAGGTCACAAGGTCACCAAAGGTCAAGGTAACTAGATATATGCCTTAACAGTTTTGACAATTATTGAAAAATAAAACCGGAAATTAAAAAAAAGCAAAGCCGAAATTAAAAAAAAGCAAAGCCGAAATTCAAAAATCGGCTTCAAGAGTTTTGTTAGCAATCGATTATAGATTCTATAGACACTAACATCACACACATCGGCTTCACCCCTAAGGCACCATTTTGAGTTTTATAAAAATTAGGTGTATCAAGATGGCGTCTGACCCTATACTTCCGGGTCAAATTTATTCATTTCAACATCTTTATGGGGACATCTCTAACTAATTGCAAAAATAATTTTTCAAATATCTGCAAAATTCCGGAAGTTAAAATTTCAACTTTAGGAGCTAATAACGTCAAAACCGGAAGTGATATCGAAACTTTGAAATTAGTTTTAGTTTGCAATCAAAATGTCTAACTATCTGTAAGTTTTCATATTGATCGAAATAAATTTGTTGAAGTTAGAAAAAAAAGTGAAAAACCTCAAAAATTGAAACTAAAAAGTCAGCGACAAAAGTTTTAATTTTATAATTCTTTAATTGCTATCTTATAGCCGTTGGCGCGAACAAAAATTAACAAAAACAGATCGATCAAAATCCGATCAAAATTGGTGCCGAAAATTAACAAAAACGTAAAAAATGGATTTTGTTCTAAGTCATTTCCGGTTGGAAAAAATGCATGAAAATACATTCATCAGATTTTTTCTCGCGGCATTAACGGGAGAAATGTTAACAGTATTTATGTGGCACGTATAGTTTTGGTTGGGCGCTCTGACCAGAATTCGAAAAAAAAAAATATTCATTTGCAAAACAAAGCAGTGAGTTCTTCGAACTGCAACTAGATCCACAGGCTTCGCGAGGTTCTGATGCAGTGCGTAACAGTTTTGATTTTACGCTTAAAACTGTGCCGCAAAGTATCGTAACAGTAATATAATTTCCTATCATAATTAACTGGATATAGATCGCCCAAACGCAAAGTATATTCGACAGATTGCTTCAACTCACATTGCATTTAACAACAGTTGAAGGGAGCAAACTACCTTTATCGTTTAGACCACAAAAAACTTACAAGCGGAAAACCGACTTTTTCATGATAAAATTTCCAATTTCAAATGGCGACAAAAAACGGAAGTAAATACCGTACAATAAACGTTATTATACCATTGGAAAGATCTCGTCGGGAGCTATCAAAATTGTTCTGGTCACATGATCACCAAAGGTCAAGGTCACGATATACGACCCTTCAAAGTATTCATATTTTTCAACCGGAAATAAATAAAAAGCAAAAGCAAAATTCAAAAATCGGATCTCAAATATTATTTAGCAATCGATAGTAGATACAATAGATATCAAATTTACACAAATTGGATTACACCCTGAGGCCCCATTTCGATTTAAAGAAAATTACGCACAGTTACTATAGAAGAAAGTACAAAATTTTCAAATATTAAAAAACGCAATTTTAATTGAAATATCTAGCGTTAGTTCAATAAGAATTTTTGGTGTATGTAAATTAGGTCACGTGTCAGAGCTCTTTGAAGATAAAAATCGTAATTTTCAACCGGCTATAAAACTGGAAGTTTGCACAGCACAAATGAGTATATCACTGGATAGATATCATCAAGAGCAACACATTTTGTTCAAGCCACAAGGTCACCAAAGGTCAAGGTCACGAAATAGGAGCCTTGGAAATTTTGTACATTACCGAAAAATTTTAAGCGGAAATAATAGAAAAGCAACATCGAAATTCAAAAATCGGCTTCCAAATTTCTTTTCGCAATCGATTGTGATATCCAGATACACCAAAATTATGAAAAGCGCTCTAAACCCTGAGGCCCCACTTTGAATTTTACTAAAGTTTGACATATCAATATGGCGGCTACACTGTTACTTCGGGGTAAGATTTTATAATTAGAAGTTTTTTGTATGACCATTTGTAACATATTGCAAAAAGAATTTTTGAAATATCTTTAAAATTCCGGAAATTGAATTTTATATTTTACAAGCAAATAGTCAAAACCGGAAGTGATATCGAAATTTCAAAAATTAGTTTTTGTTCGCAATATAAAGTCTTTATCCCTCTGTAAGTTTTCAGATTGATCGAAATAGAATTGTAGAAGTTAGAAAAACAGTTAAGAAAACTCAAAAATTTGCGCTCAAAAAGTCAGCGACAAAAGTCAAAATTGTCGATTTTTTCAATTGCTATCTTGTAGTCATTAGCGCGAAGTAATAAACGGTACAGTTTGAGCAAATTCATATCAGTATTAAAGCTGATTAATGGAAAAAATCGAAAAAGAGCCATTGTCCAACGCTCATTTCCGGTAGGTCAAAATGGTGCCAATTTACATTTAACAAATAACTGTCCACTATTTTGACCAGAAAACAGAAACAGACGGTCTGTGGCATGTTGCCTTCTTAGAAAACAAGGGAAGGTAAAATTCGAAAAAAAAAACTAGATCCACAGGCTTCGCGTGGTTCTGAAGCAGTGCGTAACCGTTTTGATTTTACGCTTAAAACTGTGCCGCAAAGTATCGTAACAGTAACATAATTTCCTATCATAATTAACTTGATATAGATCGCCCAAACGCAGAGAGAGCAAACTACCTTTATCGTTTAGTTCACAAAAATTACAAGAGTAAAACCGACTTTTTCAAGAAAAAATTCATCAATTTCAAATGGCGATAAAATCGGAAGTAAACACCATACAACAAACGTTAATATACCATTGGCTAGATCTCGTCGAGAGCTGTAAAAATTGTTCTGTACGCAGGAAGCGTGAACGGTAAAAACAATATCGAATTCGAAGGTAATTTGAATCTGAACAAAATAAAACTGATCTTGAGAAATAACAGTCAAGTCGATTTCAACGTAGAAAATTCGTTGAAAGAAGTTGATTTATATATAACAAAAGTTATTGAGCAAGATGAAGAGGAGGTAGATGATTATGCAGAAGATTATCCAATCATACAAGAAATAGACGAATTCGAAAATATGGTTTCTGGGCAAGGTAATAGATTACAAATTATATTAGCAGCCATGAAAGAAGGTCATCGATCGGACAGACAATACAATGAAGTCAATTGCATATTAAAACGACTATTGGAGAAAAAAATCATCACTAAAAAATACTATATAAACGTCATTAAAAATGTCCAATAAAGAACAATTGTTCGTTATAACCTCGAATAAATCAGACACCAAATTGTCTCTAGACTACGAGTATGAACTCGATCGCAATAAACAGTACGAACTGGGATTAAAGTATTTCTCCGTTTACAATTCCATTAGAAATATCAACGAAAACAACAATAAACTAAAAATATCGACGGATAACGGAGTTATGTTTAAAACCATAAGCTTACTACCGGGAAGCTACGAATACGTAGCCATCAACGAATACCTAACCGAATGCGCAGGAAGCGTGAACGGTAAAAACAATATCGAATTCGAAGGTAATTTGAACAAAATAAAACTGATCTTGAGAAATAAGTCAAGTCGATTTCAACGTAGAAAATTCGTTGAATGCGTTACTAGGGTTCGATAAACGAATATACGCGCAATCGACATTGGTGCCACACAAGGCCAACATCGAGAACGACATCGACGTGATCAACATTCACTGTAATTTGATCAACGGTGGATTCTTTGTCGTTGTAAGGATACATGATTCCTTCGCTGTTTGGTGGTTTTCTCTTGACTAAATTCAGATAACTTCTAAAGACTTTCTTTTGTATGTCTTCCGTTGGCAAAACTCTTTTCCCACTTTTTGTTGAATTCGTTTGTCACGTGTTTCCGCTGACCAACTGAATGTAATCGTCCACGGATATCTTATCGTTGTTTTGAATGTTTTCTTTTCTTTCAAGATTCTGTCCGAAGTCAAAACGATGTTGTATTTCACTTTAGGTGCCAAATACAAACCGTAGATTATTCCTCCGTCTCTGTAATCGTTTTTACCTTTGCAATAGTCTTTATCGGAGACCAAACCAGCTCTGTTTAGTTTTTCCAATTGTTGGATGAAATGTACAAACTATCGGTGTCGGTATAGTATATTTCGGGTTTATAAAATCCATCAATCACGTGTATGAAATTGTTCATTATTTTCTTGCTGTGAGACAAGATGAACGCACCAAAGTGAATGTGAGTCAATAGAGTGGTCTTTTTGTTTACTTCGATTTCTTTTTCTTCGTATTCAATTTCCACGATGTACCTCGTTGACCTTTTCGTAGCTTTTAATGTGAGAATCAAAGTTGGCTTTCAAAGTCGCTTCGTTCCACAAATGTCTAGTGGTCAGAACGTCTTTCTGAATCGATTTGCCGTAGAGAAAATTGCCCAAAAGTTTCATGCAGTTGCTGCCCAGGACATTACCCTCCTCTTTGTATTGATTTCTCAAATCTCTCAGTTTCAAAACGTATTCGCCATAAGGCGGTCTGTCTAAATTTTTCTCATAGACGATACCGTCCAATATCCTGATGATTCTTCCGCCGGCTTTGACTATTTCTTGAATGCCGGCCGAAGTCAAAACGTTGTAACAGAAACCGTTTCTGAACCTGATTTTAGTACCGGTTTCCTTTTTACCTTCTTTGTTGGTAACGGTGATTTTATCTTTAGATGGCACGGGTTGGAAGAACATGAGTTTGGGATATTCGAACCAGACTTTGAAAATGGCCGTTTTGAGTCTGAATTTTTGCTCGTTGAATAATCTGACAAATTTCTTTTCTTCTTCTGGTTGAAAGGCTCTCGGGTTTTCAGCTTTAGGATATTCTTTGTCTAAATCCGACACGACCGAAGCGTACAGACCGTTGGCGTCAAAATCCATCAGTTTGGATCAGTTTAATTTTTTAAGTTTCGAAGACAGTTCCGTTTGTCTTTTTCGGATTGATTGTAGGCTTTAAACAAGTCTACAATGTTGTCTCTTTCGAGTTCAGTATAGTCCTTTATCAATTCGCAAATTTAGTCCATCTTGTCGAAAACAAAAGATTTCTGTTGGCGGAAACCCTTTCGCCTTTGATGAAATTTCTCACGAAAGGATTGGTGTACTTTTTCCACGTACGGTTTTTCGGTGTGTTTCGGAACCATTCTAGTTGTTTCGTAATGCTCTTCTTCGACCATTTCTTTATCGTAGTGATACAAGTAATACCAACCCTTCAAAGACAAAGAATGTATTGAAATGTCTAAATGATTTGTGGTCTGAGTTGTACGTAACTAAATAAGTGTAAGTAGTGGTCTGAATCTTAAGGGAGATAACCCTTGTCATTACTTGTTAGACTTCCGATCCACGCTGCAATGTGAAAAGATTGTACGATTTTCTATGTATATTTTCTCGAGTAAAGCAACTATATTTTAAACAACAACGAGTTTAGTCTCTTTTATAACATGGTCCGACGAGACGGATACGGAAGTGTATGAAGTTTTAGAATAGAGAAATCGCTTCTATCTTTGTAATGACATTCGAACATTCAATTTGTCATTTGGGGTAGGCTTTACAGGATCAGGACATCAAGAATTACAATATCATCATATCTTTTATTCTTTCTATCATATCTTATCATATCTTAAAATATCATAACCCATTAATCCATTACAATCGGTAAAAACTGAAAGTATACAATACAATCATCTTAATCTTACTTATACTTAATGAATTTTCTTACTAATTTATGACCTTTTACTGTAGGGGATACCGAATTTCATAGGGAAGCTAAATTTCATAGCATGAGACACTGCATAGTACACAAGCGCAAACTCTACACCGCTTTATAACAAAGCCGGACTTAAACATAAGGAATGAAATTTCCATTGACACCGCTTGTGGAAGAAAACGTGCTCACAGAAATAAATGTGAAATATGCTGAGTAAATAACTTATGCAATATCCTAAATGTTATAGAAATGTCGATCGATATATTAATAACTAGATAATAAAAAGATTATAAACCTCGTTCCCCTGTATTTCTGTCTATCTTTCAATATTCTAAGCTATCAGTCAGCAGTACGCCCAAGAAACCGGAAGTTATCGAAAAAAAGGAATAAGTTACGTATAAAGGAAATACATGGATTTGTGAAGCGTCTAAAATCAGAACTTGGAAATACAATGATTCTTACAATCTTCTTCTTCACGTAGTTAAAATCCAAAAAAAAAAATGGCATACCCAACCAAAGTCACGAGTTGTCTTTCCTTTATTGTATTTATTGAACGTGTAAGACTGATTGTCTGTGTTTATGGGTTAATAACAGTATGGTTGCAAACTGTTTATACCAAACTAACTGTTACTCTTTGTACGAAAATGATGTTGACCTATTTTCTATATGTAGCTGACTCTGTATTAATAAGTATGTCAATAGTAATAAATATGGCTTACTGTTATTTAATAGTATATTGAAATGCCTACTGAAGTTCAAAGACTAGAACATGGTGTCAGAAGTGAAAACCTTGTAAAACACAGAGATTAGACTTTGAAGGCAACTGTGAATGCATCCAGTTGTAAAGAGTTGTGATAAATAACTGTCTAATTTGAGCATATAGTTGCTCAATATTTGATTAGGCCTAGACCATCACGTGTTTATTTGAGATTGAGCAAGCTGTTCAAGATTATTGGAAGTGACTTTTGATAATTAGTGTGTTGATCATGGCAACTTATCAAGTTCCTGCCCCTGCCCAGATGTCTTTAAAGGGTGATATGATAGAAAATTTTAAAACATTTAAATCACAATGGGAATTTTATCTATTGGCTACTGAATTAGATAAAAAGATGCTGAATGAAGATGGGACTGCAAATAATGCTGGCAAAACGCAGGTAGCTGCTACACTTTGTTCAGTAATAGGCCCAGGATGTTTGAAAATATTAAACAGCATTGCTGGTGTCACAGATGCAGATAAAAGGGATCCAGAAATTATCTTACAAAAATTGGAAACACATTTCATTCCCCAGAGACATGTTTTGTTTGAAAGATTCAAATTTTTCAGTGCTGTGCAAGCCGAAAATGAGACAATAGATAATTTAGGTGTAAGATTGAGACAACTTTCAGCAAGGTTGTGAATTTGACATTTTAAGAGATTCCTTAATCCGAGATCGTCTTGTTATGGGTACTAAAGACATTGCAGCCAGAGATCGTTTATTGCGAGAGAGACCTGTTCCAAATTTAAACAGATGTCTTGAAGTTCTTAGGGCTAGTGAATTGTCTAAAACACATAAAGAACAAATGCGTTCAACACAAGAAAATACTAATCATGAGGTTCATGGTACACAACGCATACAGAAACCTAAGAAAAACAAGTTCAATTTCAAACAGAAGAAGTTCACAGAGAATAAGTCAGCTTCTTCTCCTCAGGAGACTAATGATGGTCCTACTAATTTTAAGAAATGTAGATTTTGTGGTTTACTTCACAAGAGAAGAAACTGTCCTGCCTATGGTAAAACTTGTTTGAAATGTGGAGGTTCTAACCACTTCGCGACTTGCTGTTATAATAAGGAGGCAAAAAGACAAGAAAGTACATCATGTATCACAAGGCTACTCAGATGAAAGTTCTAACTCTGATACAGATATTATATTTGCTTTTGATAAGACGTTGGATAGAAACTATGCTAAGTTTATGATTCCTCTTAAGTTTCATAACCAATATTCACCTATAGTAGATGTTCAGCTAGATACGGGTGCTTCATGTTCAGCTATGTCTATAGATCAGTTAAGATACATATTGCAGACTGGTGATGTTCAACTTCAACCAACTGTAGGAAAAATTAAACTCTATGATGGTACTATTATATGCCCATTGGGGTCATATACATTCAGTGTTAGTAAAGGAACTGAAAAGCCTATAGACATTAAGTTTGACATTTTGGAGAATGCCATTTTACAGATGCCAAAACCAAGTAATGTTAAAGCTGTACAGAGATTACTCGGTTGTGTACAATACTTATCAAGGTATTTGCCAAAACTTTCAGAAGTTTCAGAGCCTATAAGAAGATTATCAGTATCTGATGTTCCATGGCATCGGCAGTCACAACAAGAAGAATCATACCAGAAAATATTACAATTAATAGTTAAAGCGCCTGTTTTAAAGTATTATGATGTTGGACTAGATGTTACAATAGAATGCGATTCTTCTGAAACCGGTCTTGGAGCATGTTTATTACAAGAAGGCCAGCCAGTTGCTTTCGCATCTCGTGCATTATCTAGTGCTGAAAAGAACTATGCGCAAATAGAAAAAGAATGTTTGGCAATTGTGTTTTCGTGTGAACGTTTTGATCAATATTTACATGGACGTGCACTTATAACAGTTCACACTGATCAC